TTTTTCTGTTGCCCTCTCCCCCGTTTGCTGTCGCGTTCAGACTGTCTCTACGGATATCCCTGTCTCTGTGCGAGTTTGTTTATGTCCTCGTCTGTCTTTGGTTTATTTTGTTTCATTTTGTTTTNCTTTTCTAGGTACGTTAGCCTGTGACCACGGAAATTGACCGAGTCAAGTGCTGGATTAGTACGGAGAGATTGAGACAGAAGGAGGTACTGGATAGAGAGACCGGGATGGTTTTTAATGTGAAGACAACAACAACAACAACAACAACAACAACATTACGGAGCTCAGACGATTCACCCTGACGTTACACACCTGGAGCGAGGGTTCGCTTGGGAATTTTCAACGGCAGAGCTAATGAACTCCGCGATAAGGGCCGCCGTGGGGTGCGTGAACACAAGCTCTTGTGGGAGATCGCATCCGGAGGCCTCGCAGAGGTTCTGTTTGCCAGAGGACACATCATCAGTCGGAGGGAAGCGAGTCATGTCGCCGGAATCTTCGGTAGCACAGACGTTAGACGCAGAGGCCTTCCGCGGGCACACGTTGTGGCCGTATGACAATCAACGAACGACCGAGCGTCGAAGACCAACGAAATCAATTTTCCGAACCTGCCACTGATTTTGCGCGCTTGGGTACCTTTCGCATTGTAGAGAAAAGGTATTTGGCGAATATCGTGCTTCCGAAAGTGCGATAGCTCCTGGACGCCAATCGAAGCTCTTGAAATATAGCCACCGAACACAAGGAAGTACTTTGTAGTCTGAAAAACAACAACTACAACCATCACGATACCTGAAACAAAGACAACAATGCACCCTAATACAACAACTACCGCAAAGAAACTCACTTTGCTGATTCCAACAGACACGAGGGAGTCAACTCCGAGGTCCAGCAGATCGTCGGACTCTCCAATACCTTCCACCCCGGTGGCCTGAAAAATCGGAAGTCGCAGAGGGGCGGTTCCGTGGATAATATAGTCGGCTTGTTACCGACAGCCTCTGAAACTGTTGAAAACCACCGAACTACAGCAAGAGACTCGAATCGTAGTGTACTTTATAGTAGGCCCTACGCTACACCTTTGAACTTGCACGCACATCGTCCCACACTTGAGAAAGACCCTGGAAATCACTCACTCTGGCAAGGTCTTGGCTGTATCATGGGTGAATGCGTGCTTGGCCAAGCAACAGTGTAGGGAAAATGCATGCTTGGCCATAGAGATTCGCTGGCCGTGTGCTGCGATGTGTTCACGTTAATTCCAGCTAGCCATAATTTGGCAACTTCGATTCTACAGTAGTTTAGTTGCAGACAGGCTATCGCACAGAGCTGCTGGAAAGGAAACCCCACCAACAAGGGCGTGGAAGAAGTACATGTGGATACTCACGGCCTCCACGATGTCAATGACGTCTTGGGCGCACAACTCAGCCGTGGGAGGTCGTTCTGTGTCGTTAGGCAGAGTTTCGGCGTCACTGTTCGTCGCCTGTGAGTGTATGATCCAGCGGAGACGGTGTTGGACATTCGTGCGGCCCCACAACGTTAGTACTACACATCGAAAAAAACATCGCAAAGTTGTCTTTCTTATACCTTTTCTGGGCAAGTTAGGTGACCACGAGAATCGACGCGCGTCACGTATTGGACTATGTAGTTTGGACAGAGGAAGGTACTGGGTAGAGAGAACGGAACGGTATATTGAAGTGAAGACAGTAACAAAAACAAGGGGAACCCCGTCGGGGTGCACACACGATTGCGCCAGCAGCTCCGGAGGACGCGGAGACCAACAGCCCCCTCGCCACCAACGCGCTACAGAGCAGTCGTCGGTATCGTGGCCGAAAAGAACGGAATACAAGACTGAAACCAGAAAGCTTGAGCACAAAGGACCCTACGCCTCTGTGTTCTTTGCAGCCGACATGGATACCGAGCGTGATGTACCCGGTGCCGGTCCTGGTACTGTACGCTGCCACCTTGACAAAGCAATCGCAGGCTCTCTGTTTGGAAATTTCGACTCTCCCGTTTTGGAAACCTACCACGCCGGTGATGTCGTCTACCGTTTGGTCCTGAACAGCGGCAAGGGCCGTCGTTTCTGCGGGATCTAGACGAAGCTCCTGCACCACCTTTAGCCGCCCCCCGTGTAGCATCGCTCGCGTCTTCCGTCGCTGAATCTTGCCAGAGGTAGTTTTCGGAATCGTTCCCTCCTTGATGGCCACCTGTTGCACATTATGGGGTGCACGGGGCGATTCTGGTGGGGTGAGCCCGTGTTTTACTGTGGCGCAGGCTGGCCATGGCCACTACTCTTACGCGCACGCGAACAGAAGGATATTGAGAACCTGGCGCCAAACTATATCGATGTTGCTCCCTTCGCGACGGTGCTTTCGAGGAACTTAAATGTACTTCTACTGCTGTGCCGCCTCGTGCGACGTATGCCACTCATCGATAGCCTTCACCACAACCTTTCAAAGCAATCGTTTGGGGCCAAACGCGACAGAAAGCACTGACCACTCTGGAAGGGGTGAGACCAGACTCGCTGATGACGCTGTGGCACACGGATTCGATCGCTTCCATGACCGCTTGGGTGTTCTTCTTGGAGACGGCCCGCACCTCCATGACGATCTGTACAGTACAAAGCGAGGCAGAGGCCGCCCTGGCTTGGGATTACTGCGCTCATATCGACCAGATCAAAATCGTGTCTACGTTTAGACTAATGAATCATTTCATGATCCGCACACTCCTCTCGTCGGTACAGGGGCCAGAGGCCATGATGTGCTTTCCCACCCAAACAAGTCGATTATTTTGTTCGACAACCCCCCCCCCCCGTCCTCCTCCCCGCGACCCGCTCCGAAGAATTTTACGTGGTAGTGGTACGTACTTCGCCCCCAGAAGTCGCACAAGATTCCCGCGAACAAACAAATGAAGGCAACAGCAGTGGGCGGAAAACGTAGCAGGGACCAAACCCAGAGTGGAATGTGGTACAAAGCCCCCCCCCCTTGGATCCCCGTAGTACACCCCCCCCCGTGGACCCCCGACAACGTCGTGTCGACTTCTGAAGGTCACCTCTACGCCACCGCCGAGTTCTGTCTCTGAGAAGACTGCAATGCACCCTGGCCGGACGAGAGACGACGCGTCTTGGGCGACGAATTCAATGTCCTGTGTGTCAAATTACGACCGCACATGACAGGTTATACATCGGACATCAGGGGCACGCCGAGAGACGTTATTATCGAAACGCAGTGTGCCGTCCTTTCGAGCTGATTGGAACTGCAGGGGGTTGCCGACCCAACATTGACTGTTGCCCCTCGCTCTCCAAGCAAGCAAAGTTGCTACTCGACCGAAGTGGAACTAAGCAATGACCTCAACCTCCTTTTCACCCATGAATATGCAGAATAAACGTTGAAACTCATGACCTGGGAAAATATGTTCATTTACCTGAGGGTAAACGTTGCGCCCAGCAACGATGACGAGGTCTTTCAGCCGGCCTTCGACGTAAAGAAGGCCTTCGGTGTCGACACGGCATAGATCTCCGGTGCGCAGAAAGTCTAAATCGGCCCACGAGGGGGCGGGAGACCTGGGAAGCGTTTGATGCGGGGTGGAGAAAACGTCGAAAATCGTCTAATGGGTAGCGCTGGAATTTATGAACTAGCCAAATCTCTTGCCACCAACTGAAGGAGCAACATGAGAACCAGATTACGACCGCCAACTATTCAAACCAAGTACTATATACTACCGACCACAAAGGGATGCATACTGTGCACGAAATCGTGCTGTGCACGCCAACAAGTTCCACCGCCTCAGAGGCAGACGGGAATCTGTCTAAGGTCGTGGCATGACTCTCGATCTCATTACAGTTGCGGCTACGGTTTCAGAGAAAATGTTGGAAGAAACACCCAATAATGAGAGGTGAATTGGCTTGCCACGACCATGATAAATATATACATTTCACAACACGGTGTTTTAAGAGAAAACCGGATGTACAGAGGGTAATAATGGCCTGTCCTGACCCTATCTAAAACCGTAGCCGCCACTGTATGTATATATCTCTCGTGACCTCACCCGTCAGCAGTGGTATCGCACTTGATCCGTGCCCGGAAGGTTTCCTGGGTCAGCTCAAGCTTTCCCCAGTAGCCCGCGGCCACCGACTCGGAGGATATCCACATCTCCCCCGTCTCCCCTACGGGAACCTCCCGGCACGTCTTGGGGTCGATGACCCTGATCTGTTGAGGCAACCACACAGAACAGAACCAGACCCCAACCCACGCAGTAGTGGTTGCCGTCCGGGCTGACCAGTTATGTTAGAGCGAAATGGATGGGTCCAACGTTGATGTGGACGGACCTACCGGTGTGGACGTGTGGTAGCACTACTCACGTTGATGTGGCTGTTGGCTGAGGCGTGTACATCCCCGGACGCCTGCAGCCGCTCGTCGGATATGTCGCTCAGGCTCTCTCTTCCTCCCGGATTAGGGCTGAAGGACGCGCATCCGACGGTGTGCTCGGCGAGCCCGTACGCCGCGTTGGAGGCGTAGGCCGGGAGGCCCACGGCAGCAAAGGTTTCCGCGAAGTCGCGAACCTTGCAAGGTGCAAGTAGATCAAGATGATTGAATTGTTGTAGGGGCGTCGGGGATTCGGGTCATGCCGTTATGCGTTTATAGCTCCTTCCTATGCCGAAGAAGAAAGCTTTACGGCTTCAATCACGTCAATTTTGGGATACTGTATTTGGTGGTGATGGGCAGAGTCGGGACTCATGCAGAAGGTTACGACGAAGAAAGCTTAACGGCTTCAATCACGTCAAATTTGGGATACTGTATTTGGTGGTTATAGCCAGAGTCCCGACTGAAGCAGAAGGTTACAGTCGCGTGCATGTTGTCGGGCTCTGCCTGGCCCTACCCTTGTTCGTCTGGCCTTTCTGCAGTTGCCGTTGAAGGAAGTTTGTCGTCTTAGCAAGAAGTAGAACTCTGGTCAGGGTCGCTGTTGCTATTCTGTCCTAGAAAAACAACAACGACGACAGCGACAACAACGACAACGACAACGACAACGACAACAACTTCAACGACAACAACGATGTCAAGAACAGGTGGGTAAGATGTGACGCGAAGGGGCCCGGTCGAGTGAAACCATCATCGACACCCCCAACGGTCGGTCTGGCAATACCGGCCACACTCACAGTGCTAGCGCGGACAGGCTCGGCGGCGTTCTGCATGAACATGATGGGCCTTAGGTCCAGGTGAAGCGCGGCCCGGCTCTCCGGCGACATCTCTTTCCTATTTGTGGAGGAGTGGGGTGGCGAACGAGGGAGCGAAGGAGCGAGCGGATGCGTAGTTGTCGAGACGCCTCGGGCAGAAGAATCAATCTACAACGGGGCGGCGGACGAGAGAGTAAACGAGCGAGCGCATGCGCAAGTATCCGAACGGCTCGGGCAGAAGGAAAATCTGCAACCGGGGCGCGGACGAGAGAGCGAACGAGCGAACGGATGCGCAGTTGTCGAAACGCCTCGGGCACAAGAACAATCAATCTACAGTTCGGGGGAGACGGAGGGAAACAACACTCGCAACGATTCCGCCCGGTCGTGATGTAGACTACACTGGTCGAAACCAAGACATTTTCGGCAGACGCACTCCTCTACGAGCGTTCGAAGCGTGTGCTGCCGTGGATCTCCCCTCTAGGTTTCAGCTGAACGTCTCACCACTTCCGCACGCAGAGTCGAAACGCGAAGTCTGGAGCAGCGGTCATCTGCGACTTCTCCTTGGACATGAGCTCCAGCCACATCAGAGGCCGGCGCATGAAGGTGATAGGTGAGCAGTACGCCGCCGTCCATCCGGCGAGGAACGGCACCAGAGTTCCGTGTATAAGACCCATGTCGTGGAAGGCTGGCAGCCAAGAGAACCAGGTACGGTTGCCACCCGGGACCCCCCCTCGTTCGACGATTTGCTGCCGGTGAATTGGCAAAGGGGCGTATATTTATGTTCCGTGGGAAAGGAGTTTGTGAACCAGGGGCCGAACAACGAAGCTTCGATAGCTGCAAATTCGTCAGGGCTGCAGGAAACAACATCCAGGAGTCGGTCGATTGGTGGCACACCACGAGAACAGAATGGCGCATCTCCTGGTGTATTCTCCTTCACTGCTCGATTTCATGGGCCTTTCCTCGGAAATGATCAACATTGATAAGGTCGCTCCTTGTAACAACGCTGACACCGCCTACATATAGATGGCAAGCATTCACCACCGCACCCGATGTAGAGAGGCCATCGCAACATTGTTGAAAGTGACACAATACAATATCAGTGGACCCAGAGACGGCCCTTTGTCAATTGGAAACCAGCTTGCTCCCATTAATGTTAGATGGCTCAGGGGTCTTGTATTCCTCAATGTTCGGGCAAGGGGCCAGAAGATAAAGAGGATTCCACGACTACGAAGTACTTCATGCTACCGTAGTTGACAAGGTGCAGACCTTGGTTTCTCTCAATCTCTCACCGCATTCGAGGAATTGATGATGGCATCGATGTTGTGTGTGAGGTTGCCGTACGTGAGCATTACCCCCTTCGGATCCGAGGTGCTGCCCGAGGTGAACTGCAGGAAGGCGACGTCTTCCGGCTTGATAGTCGGGTCGTCGAAGCTCGGCCGCTGCATTTGGAAACTCGGCCGCTTAGTTCCGGCTTCAGCCGACTTGCTGCCACGACTCTTCCACTCAACGGCAGAGTAAGACAAGCCACTGGTGGGGATCGTCTCCTCCTTGACGTCAGGGCAGTGGTAGGGTAAGTTCGGCCAGCCGATTTTCCCTGTCGCCACCGCCCGCAGCTTCCACGCCAGGCGGAGCTTGTTGACGAGTGGGCAGACGAGAATCATGTTCGGCGTGCAACCTTCGACGATGAGTTGCAGCTTCTGGAGAGACTTCTTGAGCGTGGCTGGGTTGGGTGGGTACACCGGCACGGCGATGATGCCGGCTCTCAGGCAGCCGAGGAAGACCGCGAAGAAGCGAAGGCCGAAGTTGAACGCCAGCACCACTCGGTCGCCCTTGGTCAGGCCCCATTCTACTCGCAGGAGGTGCGCAATCTGAGGGGGGAAGGAGGAAAGCGTAGTGACGGCCGGCTTACTTCGAGCAATGGCTACCGAGAACGTTTGTATTCACGACAAAGAGCAGGAAAGTTCTATAGGTCCCCGTAAACAGCCCCCAGGGAAACTCCGTAATCTAGAGCAGCGTAGAGTTGTACCGAGAGCACAATCAAACGAAGCCGAACACATGGCCGTTTGTTTCGTTCGCACCAAACGCTCCGAATTAGTAGTCTTCGAGAGTTACTGGTCGACCGTAACTCCACCTGAAGCCCGACAAAACATCGCTTCCTAGAGGGGAGATAACGCCCCCCTCTCGGTCCATAGTATCTTGTCTGGTCCTATTATAGTATCTCTCTCGTCTACTGTATCTCTTCCTGTTGGGTAGTAGTTATTTTGGTCGTCGCCCATCACCTTCGCAAGTGGAAGGACTTATCGTATGTGTTGCGCACCTTGCTTGGGCTAGCCGGAAGCTATGCTAAGGACAGCAATACCATACCCTTGGGAACTTCGCGCAGACTCTGAGACTTGTATTTTTTGTTGTTGTCTTCACACTTGCGAGTACCAAATCAGCATCCATGTGTTTGCAAGTGAAAATCTCGCGCATGTGACGTCGGTGTGATTAGCATCGGCGAAGCCGTGAGTCTAGTCACCTCGCCGCTCGCCCCCCAGACACCGTGAAAGGTCCGGGTGGATTCGACTTGCCCCACACGGTTGTACCAGCGGGCGAAAACTCGATCTTCGGGTGTTTTCGCGACGGAGAGAGCGATCGCCTGGAGAAACGTATCCTGCGAGCTCCGCGCGGATGCCTGTGTGGAAGGGCAGAGCGGCCAAGTGAATATTCGTCTGTCCATAGGCCAGATGTCCTTTTTTCGAGGAAAACAAGATCATAAATGAGTGGTGGGAGCTGCGAGCGACTGAATATGCATGCAGTTGGTGACCACATCAACGTGAAACGCCTTCCGTGCTACTAGCGGCAGTCAGATCAACTAAATCCTTTTCGTCTGAGCGGCTAATCCCTTAGGCGCGACAACTGTACATCATATTCCTATTCGGTGCCGTCCACTCACGTGTTGGCCTGAGTCACGCCGACCGTGGTCATCGCTAGGGGCTGACTTCATCAAGTCTCCCTCGTCTCTTCGTCGCCGTCAGGTTTAGTTACACGTGAAACGGGACGAGGGTGTGCGCAGATACCGACACGTTCACACCGTTTGTACATCGTGTATTGTGTGAGAGTCAAGAGTACTAATGTAGGTCGCAGGCCTTAATCGAAGAAATTGCGGGATCGACAATGAAGCGAACGCGCACAACAATACATCTGATATTGATGCAGAAAACGACACGCCGCCACAGCGATGGCAAAAGAGTTAACGCTTTCACGCTGAGTCTTGCTAGGACGAATGAGCCTGCGCGTGGGAATAAACACCACCCGGGGGTCGAGTTAACTCTATCTGTCAGGAGAGTGTTGTGTTCGTTCACTATGGGCACAAGGAGCAGAGGTCAATGTTGCCGCCCGGGCTATCGCACACAGTATCACAGCCTTCCCGACGTCTATGATTTTTCTCGTTCTGAAGAAACTATCCACACCCGCTTCATCGCAGGCGATGTCGTAGAACCAACCGACTGGCTGGTGGGCAAGCACGATAAAACCGTTTCAAGCACGATCCAAGTGGAACGCTCGACAACTGATCCTGAGGGCAAGCGTGCGCGCTATGAATGCCACTGTCGTTCCGACCGTAGGTCGTACAGCCAATTAACACGATGGTGTCAGTTTTCACCCGTGTGTTGTACCGGACGGAGTGTTTTTGACCAATCGGCCAAACAATAATGCCAAACACCGTTATCAGAACGAGAAGGAAGATGCGTCACGGAATGATGTTGTTGAACCAATTGTGGATATCCGGGACGGGGGTAGTGAACGTCTGTAGGGGGGCCCGGAAGCAGGTGCCTGTTCGCCCCGGGTGACACAATCCATCCATTTGTGGTCACCGTGGGGAAAATCCCACAGAAAAAACGTTTTACGTTTCCAAGCACCCCGCTTAAGCTACCACGGTTGCTCGTGCTTCCATCATCTGAAAACGAAGGCCGTCCTGACTTTCTTATGTTGCAGCCCAAAGATCAAACATGTGTTTCTCTCCTGCGCATACTGAACGTGTATTATATTGTTTACTCTAAGCTCGTATACTGCAAGAAAGTGTCTCACTGCTTTCTCTCTGTTGTACGTGGGAAGATAAGCCGACATTGAGTGTGTGTACATAGGTTGTACACCTTGTACGCGGATCCACATTTAATCCAATGCGTCCCTTCGGACGAAAAAAATATGTGGATTGATGATTTGTCGGAACGTTCGCGTTCTCCTGCATTTTTTTCATACAGCATTTGGTCCGTTGTGCAGCCTAGCGAGGGCGAAAAAGCTACTCCAGGACTACTCTAACTATATAATAGGTTTGTTCATGTTGTCATCCCGCTTATTATTGTTGTTCTGTCTGGACGTCGGCCTTTACACCCTTCTTTTTGTGACGATTCTTGGACGCACCAGCCGGTATCACACACGAGGAAGGCCAAACAGGAGTGACTTTTTTTTTTTGCTCCGCCTTCTTCTCATTGCGGTGTGGTTGCGTTGGTTGTTGTCCTGAGAAGGATTCACCGTTCCAGACCTCCAAAATAGAACAAATCGTACTCCGGTCGCGAACTGACACCCCGGACTACACGTACAGAGTGCCAAGGACGACCGACGGTGTTTTTGGAGCAACAAACACACCAATCAAACGAGGGCGAAGCTTGTTTGTAGTCGGTTGATGATCGCATGGCGGATGATCTGATGGCTCAACACCAACTTTGTCTGCCAATTCTCGAATGCATTTCACCGAAAAAATCACACTCTAATGACGTGCGCTGGGAACCAGGACGCCCGGACGCCGTGTCTCTTGTGATTCTCGCTTCACACGAAGTGCCTACCGACAGGAGTGCTCATCACCACCAGTTGCTTGCTACCAGGCACGCGTTTTCATGCAGATTGTGTCTATGTCCCGTGTGCGTATTACTACATGTAGTTTCACATGTTTTACGCATACGTTCCAGCTGAAGAATCTCGAACCACCCCTACACAAGTGATGCTGCCATACGTGCATCGAATCCTGGCAAACGGTCTGTTGGGTTCGGTGGACGGAAGTGAATCTAATCCACTATTCATCAGAGCCAACAACCACGATCAATCATCACCATCTCACCTGACCGTTGATCGCCAGAAGATGTTGTTCGCGATACAGTCTTTGTCCAGACGCCCACCTGCCGTGACGTGTGTGTGCTGTCGGCGCAAATACGCTGCTGCTGGAAAAAAAATATTCTTGGACGTTCCCATTGTTGTGTCATTTTGTTCCGAAGTTTGGTGCGGGGGTCCGGGGGAAAACATAGCAGCAGCACAGTAGTATATGAGACGAACACAAGTACAGCCAGGTGGCTGCTCGGATCTATCCTGATACGGATGCGCTCGGCGTTCGTCCTTTCGCCAGCTACAAGAAGCTATATGTTTATATATCTTGCCCTCGATCTGAAAACAACACAGACGGGTAGATGATGCATGCATAGACTATGTACTATTGTATGGACAGTAGCCTATACTGCCTATCGTCAGGTAGGTATGGTCTACAATGTTCTACTGTATTCGCTCTCTGAGTTTGATGTATTCCAAGAAAATATGCTTTCGTACACAACATGCAGAAGACCACAGCACAGTGTAGCCTAGAGCTGTAGTCTATGCCACTTGACAACATTTGGTACGTGTCAGGGATGGCATTGATTGATTGGAACATCCTTGCTGGACCTCGTGGCTTACCTAGAATTGGTGTTGCCTTTAGGCGACGGCGTTAGTTTCCACCTGAAAACTTTCTCACCCATGCACCTTCGGCACAAGAACCGCAGACAGGTGGGCACGCTCAAATACATCAGATCAATCAAATATATAGTCTAGGCTAGTGTCCATTCGGTGCAATAATACTGGGTTCCCACGTTAAATTGACCCGGAAATTTTGGACTGAGATAAATTGACTTGACACGAAAAAAAGTGACGGTTGGCAAATTGACACGAAAAAAGGTAACGGTTGGTAAATTGACACGAAAAAATATTCCGCCGCACGTTGCCTGGCGAAGGCCAGCAGCGGCGCAGNATCGAAATTCACAGGTCAGTCGGAGTTGTGTGCGTTTGAGAACTCTGCGGTAGTTGCTGTATGCGACGGGCAGGGCGCGTCGGGGTTGTGCTACTGCTGTGGACAGGCTTCTCATCTCAGCACGTAGGAATCATACCCGTGTCCTGAGTATCACGGAGGTGCACATAGTTTCAGACAGCATCAATGATAGCGAAGCAGTTGATACAGCAGTTGACTATTGATGTGTTTTTGAGGTCATACCTGTTGTACTACAGCAGTCTACACGTGTAGCACA